CTCAAAAAAGTAGGTTTACACGGCTTTTCGACAAAGGGGGGGATCACCGAAAAAGCCAAATCTAAACTAAACTACTTTAAACTAAAGCTCTGCTTTCGAAAGTGAGATTGTAAAAAGATATGCAAATTCCCGTGGAATTTGCATATCCTCATTTGACATTCTAGCGTAGTCTAGATGAGCCCTGACTGTGAGAACCATGCACTTCCCCCTCTTCATCCCATCAAAATGCTGCTACAGTTCAAATAGCATATCTTGCAAATTTTAGGTACACAAGTATAGTTAGTAAAACTGCTCCGTCCTAAGAGACTATTTTGGTTACGACAATCTTACGGCTTATTGAAATGAAGGCGGGCCACTTTCATAGCCCACTCACTAGCCTAGTTTGCCCATCACTCCATTAATTTGTGCATTAATTTGCCCATGCAGATCTTGCTGATGTACACTAAAGATTCCCATGTGTGCTTTATTCTGCTCGCACCAGGGAACATTGCAAAGAGATCATTCACTATAGTATATTCTATTATGTATGCACAATACATGTGGTATAAACCCACATTTTTTGACATCTACAAAAACTCAAAAATCAATAAAAAATATACTCTGAAAATGTTGCTGCATACTACTGCTATCCAAGAGCACTTGCAGGTCACAAGTCCATCGGTCTTGCTAGGTATCATGGCAGGCTACCTAAGAGATGGAATCCAGAGACCCAATTGGGGAGGGTTTGTGCCACTTCCCAAACAGAAGTGGAGGCAAGGCCTGCCACTAAAAATGTAGAGAACTGGGGGAGCAAAGGGGGAAGCCTTAGCAGGAGCAGCTTATCCAGGGACCATGACAATTAGCATTATCTCTATATTTAAAACACACACACACACACACATGCTCCAGGCATTGTCAAATCTAACAACTCTGATCATAATTACAGCCCCTGTCTTAAAATGCGTGCTTGCGAAAATCATCCATAAATTCAGCTCAGGGCTCTTAGGTGACTGTGATAGAAGTTATCTAATTGGAAAATGTGATATCAGTCTCCTCCAGCCAAACTGATATGAAATTTAGTCCTGGAAAGTAGGATTGGGAGATGAATGAACGATTAAGTATAATACCCATTATGAAAGTTCATTCATAATTAATTTGAAAACATTGATTAAATGCTGGCAAGTTTTCCCTATTTAAAGAGAGAGAAAAATAATATACATTTGAAAAAGGGATGGGACTGCAGAGCTACTCCAAGGACCAACCTGACTGATAAATGACCAGGGGGATCTCACACATAGAATAAGCCCATCCCACTGTTCCTTTTAATTTGGTTTCACATGCTATTAACAGTAATTAAGGGGAGGCACACCAGACTCTCAGATTCCAAGGGGATCACTTAAAGTCTGGTTACATTACATTGTACTCTGATTATTTAAACAGAGATGACTCATTAAAGCACTTCACAGTACCAGATTAACATTATGAAAATTTTAAACTGAGATATGGTTGGCTATGAAAGAACAGACATTCTAAAACCAGACAGTTGCAGGTTAACAAGAGGGAAAGAAACACAGATCTATAGTTTGGATGTTTTAATATATAAATGAGGCTGTGATGTCTAGCTGTCAAGGATCAGTGATGCAGCAACCTAAAATCTATTCCTCATACTGTTTGGTTTCCTGTGTAAATTATTACAGATTATGCGTTATTATTAAAATATATGGCCAGTCCCAAAATGGAGGATGTGATTTTAAACATACAGGAAATTCTTCAAGGATTACCATGGAGAATAGCTGCTGATATGCTGTTCACCTCCATTACTTAAAGGGCTAAAAATATGTGATTACTACCATATTGCTCTTCTAGGGTCTAGTCTTTCTTATATTCACTTACCCTTGTTAGAGGCACAAAAGTATCCTGGCACCTGATGATAATAAATTAATACTTCAAAACTGATTTATCCTGAAGATGGTATTTAAAACTATAGTAATAATTTTAGTAATTATCAATTTTAGTGTTAAAAATGAAGTATAATTAAAACTCTCAGTGGTGGTTGGGGTTCAGTCAATGAAATTCTCAACTCAATGGGAGGTGGGGAGTGGAATCACAGGCTTAAGATAAATAAAATTGGCCTTAACCACACATTAATATTTTGTATAACTATTTGCAAATCTCAAATCTTGTAGATTCATGTACCTAAATTAAGGACATAATCCTAAAATTAAGTACCTATATAAAATGGCCCAATTTTCACGTATGTCAAGCAATCACAAATTCATACGAACTCAGTGGGAGCTGCAGAACCTCTAATTATGGATTTAATTGCTCAGTATTAGGCACTCTTTGTTCTGAAGAGTTTATTTTAATTTATAGACAAGAGTTTTGCAAAGCTAGCCAAGGGAAATTTATTTTACTCAGTAATCAAGTAAATGAACTAGAGTTTATTCTTCTCCCCTGCCCAATTGCCAGTCTTCTGCTTACGAAGTCCCTAAATAGGAATGATTCACCTGAACAAAACTCCCACAGAACTGTTTTCTTAAGAGCATATCTTTTAATATAACAAAACTGCATACGTACGATGTGGAATCCTGCTTTTCTGATCACAAATACTACATTGGGGATTTCTTGTTGGTTGTCCAGGTACATGTTCAGCCAGTTTGCAATACATTTCAGCACCGTTTTCCCCACAGGTAGCATTGGTTGTGATGATAGCATTGACAGCCAAGTTTAGAACTGCTGGAAACAAGCCTGGAAAAAAACAACACAAGTGAGAACAAGATGAGTTCAGTAGCACAAACATAAATGTATATACTATATATTAAATCGTTTTAAGGCAATAAAGCTAAAGACCCAACTTTTAACGGCTATATATGTATTGAAGAATGCAATGCCCCCACCAAACACCTTTCCATTTTCCAATCTAGATTTCAGAAATCTGATGAAAGGTCACTTACTAATACTCTCACAAGTTTACTACCTTCTAAAATCTGAATACATCTGAAAACATAGTACAGTTGTGTTACCTGAAGAGCTGGGCAAAATAACTTACTCAAAGTATCATCCAAAAACTTGGTTTAATAAGCAATCCAAGCTCTCTAGTGACTGAAAACGTTGGACATTTTTTGAAGCTTTTGATACGGTCTCTCACAATGTTCTTGCCAGCAAGTTAAGGGACTATGGATTGGATAAATGGACTGTACGATGGAGAGAAAGCTGACTAGACTGTCGGACCCAACGGGTAGTGATCAACAGCTCGATGTCAGATTGGCAGTCGGTTTCTAGCAGAGTGCCCCAAGGATCTGTTCTAGGATTGGTTTTCAACATCTTCATTAATGACCAGTATGAGGGCATGGATTGCACCCTCAGCAAATTTGCAGATGACACTAAGCTAGGGGGAGTGGTAGATACACTGGAGGGCAGTAATAGGATCCAGAGTGACCTAGACAGATTAGAGGATTGGGGCCAAAAGAAATCTAATGAGGTTGAACAAGGACAAGTGTAGAGTCCTGTACTTGGGACGGAAGAATCCCAAACATTGTTACAGGCTGGGGACGGAATGTCTAAGTCAGGCATGCGGGTAATTTGGCAATATCTATCTTTTATGGCCCCCAATGAATCCATATGTATTGAGATGAATACATTGTAAAATCTCAGTTAAAGTCAGTTGGTCTAAATCAGTTATAAATATATTTGGACACAACATGTATACTTGGTGTTATGTTCCTGTTCATATTTTTTGAACTTAAAAGTTGACAGACAACCTTTATTACCAATAATATGTAATGTACTTTACAATGTTCCTGACATATATTTCAGCTTCCTGGATTTTTTTTTTCATCTGGCCTTCAGATATGAAAGGCAGAGTGATTTAACACCTGTTTAGATTTGTCATCCATGTGACGAAATGAAAAGTATGCCGTTTGCAATAAACTTTGCATAAAATAGTTAATTTGCATTTAATTTTAATGGTTCAAAGAATGTCAGGCAAAATGGTCGGCCCTCACTCATGTTCACTTCATCAAATCTGGCCCTCTTTGAAAAAAGTTTGGACACCCCTGGTCTAAGGAGCAGTTCTGCAGAAAAGAACCTGGGGATTACAGTGGATGAGAAGCTGGATATAAGTCAACAGTGTGCCCTTGTAGCCAAGAAGGCTAATGGCATATTAAGGTGCTTTAGGAGGAGCATCGCCAGCAGATCCAGCAAAGTGATTATTCCCCTTTATTCGGCTCTGGTGAGGCCACTTCTGGAGTATTGTGTCCAGTTCTGGGCCCCCCACTATATAAAGGATGTGGAGCATTGAAGAGGGTCCAGCGGAGGCTGACAAAAATAATTAGGGGGCTGGAGCGTATGACCTATGAGGAGAGACTGAGGGATTTGGGTTTGTTTAGTCTGCAGAAGAGTGAGGGGGAATTTGATAGCAGCCTTCAACTTCCTGAAGAGAGGTTCCAAAGAGGATGGAGAAAGGCTGTTCACAGTAGTAACAGAGGGCAGAACAAGGAGCAATGGTCTCAAGTTACAGTTGGAGAGGTCTAGGTTGGATATTAGGAAAAACTATTTCACTAGGAGGGTGTTGAAGCACTGAAATGGGTTACCTAGAGAGGTGGTAGAATGTCCATCCCTAGAGGTTTTTAAGTCTCAGCTTGACAAAGCCCTGGCTGGGTAAATTTAGTTGGAATTGGTCCTGCCTTGGCAAGGGGACTGGACTTGATGACCTCCTGAGGACTCTTCCAGCTCTATGAATCACATATGTAAATTTATCTGTGAAACTTTGTACACTTTATTTTCATCTCCATTGCAGATAACCCATCTTGCCTTGCAAATACTTCATTTTGTGTATTCCATTTTCTCTGAACTACTGTTCTGTATAGATTCTTATACCACTTTCATCATAGGCGTATCTGTGCACTTTTCAATAGGTCATGCATCAATAAGACTAATATCGACACATGTGGCTCGTTCTCTCTGTCATCCTCTCCTTAGGAAGGGAACTGTGTGTGCAGTATTGTTTTGATAGTTGTAGGGGGTCTGTTTTGTGGGTTTATAATGTACATAGCTGCCATATTTATTGCACACTAGGATTATCAAGAGTGCTGAATCAAGGTCTAAATGATGAATCATGCAAAAAGCACTAAAGAGTATCAGTCCTATGAGGAGCAATCATTAAGTCAAGTCTATTCCACTTCCCACCAAATGCTGATCAAATCCAGGGAGGTGCAAGGCCACCATTTTGGGCACATGGGGAATGGGCTAGCAGCCGTGCGCTCCATGACACGGCTTGCTTTTCATCCCATTCCCCGCATGATAAAGGAATGAGGGGAAAGTGCTTGTATTCTGTGCATTCCTCTCACAATTGGCTGGTGAACTCCCTTCAACGGCCAGGTGTGAGAGGAATGCATGGAATGCACGTACTTTTCCCTCACTCCCTTATTGTCCAGAGAATGGGTTGAAAAGCAAGCTGTGTCCTGGAGCGCATGGCTGCTGCCCCCCCCCCCCCCCCATGCACCCAAAATAGCCCCCTTGCCAAGGTGTAGAAAAAAATTATCTACTGAGGCAAAGTGATGTGGTGAGTTAAGCTTTCACATTAACCTTTCATGCCAGGAAACAGTTACACTTCCCCACATATTTTTGTTAAATTGCTATCAATTCAATTTAACAAAAATAAACACAGAAGGAAGTAGTTTGGGTTGGGTACAGGTCTGTTTGGAGATTTTCACCAATGTCTGTCAGCCCCTTATCTAGTATTAGACTGTTTAATCAATGGCGAATTTTAAAGAACATAAAGTTCTTTAACCTCAAAGTTTGTCAAAACTGATGTTGAAACTATTGCACATTTATGAACCTCCTTTGTTAATGACTCTCTTCTTTCTCCTAGATATACTGTGCTAGCTGAATTAAACATCATGCAGCTGAATCCTTTTGATCTTCTAACTCTGTTCTCCTGACTGTCCCTGCAATTAACCTGTGTGCCATTTAATTACAGAGCTCAGTGGTCACAGTACAGTTATTTTCTGACATAAGTTAGTGACTCTCCAGCTCACTTTAAACCCATGTTAAACATATTGTTTGAGTAAGGCATCCAATTGGTTAGGTGCTTGTCCAATTTGTACAGTCAGTCAGTCAATAGCTGAGATTGTATTGAGCCCTCAGCTTGCTGCTTCTTTATAGATTACAGTCCATTTTTATTACATTTTAAAATCTATGTGGTTATACCTGTTGTATTTCTGTTCCAAGCATTCAGTGATATTTATTGCTATGTACAATAGGGCTACATGCTAAAGACAGTGTAAGCATTGCAAACACAAATGAATCATGAACAGCTGTAGAACCACTTGACTTAGAGTCTCCTTATTCCATCTTGAGGCTGTGTATTGTTGATAACAAAAAAGCCAGTGATCAGTTAGCCACAACGTGAAGACTGGCATTCTGCTCTGAGTACAGCAAATAGCTTTGTCAGATGGGAGCCCAGTGTCAGAAGAGATTGACGTATAGTACAAAAAGAATTCCAGCACAGAAGCTAGTGAAAATACCTGAGTATTGGAGAAGGTGACAGATAGCAACATAAAAGGACTACAGCATACCTGTCTCTCTTTTTTGTAAATATGTATTTACACTGTGTACACATGTTCATACATATTTTATTTATATACACATTTTATATATGCGTACGCATGCTGTGTTAAATTTACACATAAGCTACTTTGAAACCTACTCGTGAAAAATAAGAGCTAGGTATTTTATTTATATATTATATTTATTATTAATTGTTGTTATTTTTAGGCAGAGCCTGCTTAATCATCATGTAATATCAAACTTTGCCTATAGTTGTACAGATACAACATCATTAACTGTGGTGCATCCCAGAGCAAAAGTTGAACCACAGTTTTACCCATTATCTGCATAAACAAAGACAACTATTGTTAGAAGTTGTTCAATAAAGATACAGTGTTAAGGTCCAAGTGCTTCAGAGAGAAGAAAACTTGTTACCTTCAATTCCCTGCTGACTCATGAGAATGGAGCTGACTGGAAGAGCACAGAAGTTGCACAAAATGCATGTGTACTTCTGCCACATACCCAGCTCTTGAGGCTTGTTACTAGTGAGCGGTACAGCTTTAGAGCAAGGATTTTATCACAGTTGATAAACATGCATTTGAATGCTGTTTAACGCAGGCAGCCTTTCTTTTCAAAGACTGTTGGTTATTTTTTCATTTAGATTTCCATTTTAGAACAGGAAGTCTAATTTCACATTACATAGGCATGCCAACAAGTTGAGTGTAAGGGCTCACAAATTCAATCTGTCCCAACTAGGGAGGTAAAAGCCTACAAATCAGTTTACCAGTTAAACATTTGATTAACCTAATGTTTAATCAGTTAACTGACAGTCATGAATAGGAGCTAATAAGGAGAGTCTGATTTACCTGGAGAGTGAGGAAAGGGTTAAGCAACTCTGGAGATGCACCTGAGGGAGGGGGCTTTGGGCATTCAGCCAAGGAAATGCAGATAATCTCAAACCAAGAAAGGGCTGGGGTTTTTTTTCCTCTCTCTTCCTTGATTTTAGACCAGAGAAGTTTTTTCCCCAGGTAGCAGAAGAGATGGGCTCTCCCAGGAACTGACTCCTTGAAATGTGTAAGTAAGGAAAAGTTTAGATAGCCCGTCAGATTTTATTGTTTTCCTTATTTGGGGGTTTGGAATCATGTCTGAGATGGTCAATTGTTTTTCTCTTTTGTAACTAAGGATAACAGCCCAGGGAT